AGACTGAGGCAACAAAGTCATTGAGTACCTCGACCTTCTCCATATCCTGGGTAACCAAGTCACCCATTTCATTCCGGAAGGGACCCACATTTTCCCTCATCCTCCTTTTCTCACTAACGTACCTACAGAAGCTTTTCTTGTTGTCCTTGACATCCCTGCCCAGACTAATTTTTGTCAGGGCTTTGGCTTTCCTAACCTGATCCCTGGCTGCTCGAACAGTTTCTCTGTATTCCTCCTAAGCTACCTGCCCTTGCTTCCACCCTCTGTAGGCTTCCTTTTTTTGTTTGACTTTGCCCAGGAGCTCCTTGTTCATCCATGGGAGCCTCTTGGTGTTTTTGCTTGACTTCCTCTTTGAGCCATACATCCTGTGGGAAATGGAGAAATGAGTGGCAGATCATACTAGTTGTAGTAGCAAACTTGTGCTAGTAGTAAACGTCTAGAAAACGTGATTGGAACTGAGCTCTTCCTACAACTGGCAATGGACAGCAGCTGTATAGCGTCACTGCTTCCATTTCTCAGCCTTTTTCTGCTGAGCTTTGAAAGGATTGTTTCTTTCTATATATTTACTGTGTTTCTTTCTGCAGGTCTCTGTTGTGTAATCTTGTCAAGATCAAACTGGGATGCTATGAGCTAGAGCCAAATAGAAGTCAGTCTGCTGAAGATTACCTCAAAACCTTTATGGAAACAGAAGTGAAACCACTTTGGCCTAAAGGCTGGATGCAGGCAAGGTACGATACCTGCTTTATATATCTATTCATTTTGGTGTGAACTGTTTCTTGGATCTTATTTATTGTCACATATTTGACTCAACTATGTACTATTAATATTAGTTAAAATGTCAAAATATGTCAGTGGAACTAGAATATTTTAGAAGAATGAATGTTTATCAGAAGTTAATTTTCTGTCTTTATTTGCAAGCCTGAGAGCTAAAACCCCACTGTTTTCCTTGGAGAACTATGTGCTTTTGTCATCTGCTGGAGACTGAATTTACTGAAGTTCATAACAGTGCATGATGCTTCATTTGAGGGGGAAGTATGAGGCAGGGGGGTAACTGCTTGGGAAGTTCTTTCTGTGATATGGAAAGTGATAATGATATAGAAAGCAGTTTTGCCTATCCCTTGTAACCTGTCTGATAATGCAGTGTGACATAGATTTTAAAATTATAAGCTAGAATTTCAACACCGGAGTTCACAAAACAGTAAGGTTTGTGCTCTTTATTTCCTGTATGCAATTGGGATGCTCTGTGATGCTGCAGTTAAAAATAGGTCAGTTTCTTAATGAAAACTTACACTTGCTTCCTACTGACTTATTAAGAGGAAACAACCAGGCAAAGGGGAAAAAAATAAAATGAGAGTAATACTTATCATTGTGAAATACAAATTTGACAAAGTTTCAAACACTTTGAAGTGGAAGAAGAGAAGCAAATACAGATGAGATGAGTTCTTTCCTTCTGTAGCACCCATTGCAAAAGACAATTTCCTATCAAATCTCGACCTGACTGTAAAAGCTAAATGATGCAACAATACTAATCAATTTGCTGAAGAATACCTTGATTGTAGATTAGTCAAATCTGTACCAAGCTCTAAAAGTAATTGTACTGAGATATTTCCTAAATAGTCAGTGTAGAAAAAAGGGTGTAATAAGCTGCCTATGAAATAGTAATGAAAGGAACAAATGAAATTTTACACTTCTTAGCATGCAGCTGACTTATTTCTGTTGAAGGATCTAGTTTTGTATACTAAGTATGCTGATGAGTATACCAGTGGGATGTTATGTCTTATGAAAATTTTATTGAAGTAAATGAGGCAAGGAATCCCAGTTTAGTTTAAGACCACATATGCAGATTACTGGTGATAGTGGTGAAAGTAGTCAGGTGGTAGTGTGAGGTCATCCAAGAATACATAGAAGTGAAGCAAGTTAAAACTTTGTATTTGAAAGCCATATAACATATATCTCTCTTGTTTCCATACAGTAAGTGTGCTGAAAAGTCCCATAAGCTTTTAAACTACCTATAAAAGTGGTTTCAACAAAAACCAAAACAAAACCCAAGAGCTACCTGATCATAACTTTCTGTTGACCAGCAAGAGTTCATTTACCAACTGGGCAGTTGTGGTACCATAATAATTTACAAATTGTTCTGTATTTACAGGGGGCTGCTTCCCTGCTTTCTGTTTAGGAAGTGTTGTATTGTAATTTGTAGGCAAACAGTTATGCATAGAAAGAGGAAAAGCAAGTATTTCCTGGAGTCTGACAGTGGTAACTCCTAATACAGCACATGGTGTTACTCATATGCTGGATACTCTCATCTTGTTGGGATGTTAGGGTAGGGATTATCATGCTGAAGGCTTATAATTTTTTACCTTTCTATGTGGCCTTAAGTGAGAAGGAGCTATGTAAACTGGGAAAAAACGTAGGCATTTAATGTTAAAAATAGTCTACTGACTATGTATTTCATAAGGAATTCTTACTAAGCAGAGTAGGTCTATGATACCAGAATTCTGTGGGCTTGGCCCAGAGGAGAAATTGCTTGCTCTTTCAAAGTTAACTGTATTATGTTTGTCATAGCTTAGTATAGAAGCATGAGGTAGGGTGTTGATCATAATCTTAAGTTGCACCTCATTCATTTGTCCATGTGTATCACAGTTATCTTTGTCACGTGAATTTTCTGTGTGTAACTTCCATACTCTGCCCCAGGAGATTGTTTTATTAATATTCATGGATGTAGAGAAACACCTTTTGTCCTAAAGAATCCCAAAGCCTTTACATATAACATAACCCATTTTTCTGACTGGGTTGCATATTAATTCCATGTTTATTTGAAAAAAGCCTGCAACCTAAATATGTGTATGGTCAAAAAAACCCCCAAAACCTAAAAGGAACAGGAAGTCTGTTTTCTTTGATGAAACTCTTGTAATTATCTTTGGAGGTGTTCATGCAAGTAGGCTTGCAGCACATTTCTTTTGTGCAGCTCAAACGGTACACTTGACTTGAAATCACGATCAGAGAGAAACAATCTCATACTGATCTCTGTCATCAACTTTTACATCTAAATATATGTATGCAGTGGAGGGATTCTTCTCCAAGCATGTTCTTGCTTTGGAACATATACTGCACTGTCCTTGCCTTGTACCATATCTTTGACTTCTGTTCGTGTAATAGTTACACTTTTGTCTTGAACCTTTAAGGATGATACTAAAAATTGCTGGTGCCTAGGATTCATTTTGGATTTTCATTCCCAAAAGATTAAGGAATAGACAAAGCACCATGAAGGGAGATGGGGAGGGAAAAATTTTGGAGAAGCTGAGTAGGTCAGAAGGTGGCACATTGAACTTGTAATGAGGAATGTTCCTTTTGCTCCTTGATGTTCTTCATAGGCACTCAGTAGTCTGATGGAAAGCAATGTAATACATTTGGAGGTTAGTATTGTGAAGAAATGGAGTTAAATCCAGTTGGTGGCCGGTCACAAGTGGTCTTCCCCAGGGCTCAGTCTTGGGGCCGGTCTTGTTTGATATCTTTATCAATGATCTGGACGAGGGGATCGAGTGCACCTCAAGTAAATTTGTGGATGACACTAAGTTGAGAGGGAGTGTTGATCTGCTTGAGGGTAGGAAGCCTCTACAGAGGGATCTGGACAGGCTGGATCGATGGGCGGAGGTCAACTGTATGAGGTTTAACAAGGCCAAGTGCTGGGTCCTGCACTTCAGTCACAACAATCCCAGACAACGCTACAGGCTTGGGCAGAGTGGCTGGAAAGCTGTCTGGAGGAAAAGGACCTGGGGGTGCTGGTTGACAGCCAGCTGAATATGATCCAGCAGTGTGCCCAGGTGGCCAAGAAGGCCAACAGCATCCTGGCTTGCATCAGAAATAGTGTGGCCAGCAGGAGTAGGGAAGTGATCGTCCCCATGTACTTGGCTCTGGTGAGGCCACATCTCAAGTACTGTGTTCAGTTTTGGGCCCCTCAGTACAAGAAGGACACTGAGGTGCTGGAGCATGTCCAGAGAAGGGCAGCAAAGCTGCTGAAGGGTCTGGAGCACAAGTCTTACGAGGAGTGGCTGAGGGAACTGTGGTTGTTTAGCCTGGAGAAGAGGACGCTGAGAGGAGACCTTCTCGTGCTCTACAACCACCTGAAAGGAGGTTGTAGCCTGGTGGGTGTTGGTCTCTTCTCCCAAGCAACAAGCGATAGGACAAGAGGAAACGGCCTCAAATTGCTCCAGGGGAGGGTTAGATTGGATATTAGGAAAAAATTCTTCACTGAAAGGGTGGTCAGACATTGGAACAGGCTCCCCAGAGAGGTGGTGGAATCACCGTCCCTGAAGGTGTTCAAAAAGCGTGTAGACCTGGCACGTTGGGACATGGTCTAGTAGACATGGTGATGTTGGGTTGACGGTTGGACTTGATCCTAGAGGTGTTTTCCAACCTTAAAGATTATATGATTCTATGAAAATATGAAAATTGAGCTGACAGTGGAATCTGAGAAGTAAGGTGTTGGAACTGTAGTGAGAGGATGTCAATGTTTTCTTAACAGATTACATGAGATTTGTGGATACTTTGATTTTTCATAACTATTGCAGCTCTACAGGATGTGTTACCAATTTTGAAAAGCTTCTGTTTAGACAGCTGTTCACGATGTGGTCAGTGTTAGTGTAATGGCAGTGGTGTAGGAAAATCTTGTCTCTTCTAGTTTGCCTACCTGGAAGCAGAGAAGGGGACCAAGTTTTCATTAATCATCTATTTATAGCTGCTTTTGGGTAGCAAGCTGTAGGGATGGGTGCAGGTCATGAATCATATTCTCTTCCCCCTCATCAGCTCAGGAGTTGATCACATCGAAATAAAAGCATGGGAAGTGTTGAGATTTCAGACCCACTCTTGCCATTCATCGGCTCTGAGTAAAATGCATGTGAAAGTCCAGTGTAATTGAAGTCACAGAAGTGGTACACAATGACCTTCACAAAATACTGAAGAAAATTAGAAACAAGCTTGCGTACTGTATTCTGACCTTTTTCCTCTATGCTTTAAAAAAAAGAAATCCACAACAGACTAACCACAAAACCCAAACCTATGGTTGATGTGTGGACATGTAATGTGAAGAGTACACGATAATCCTTAATTTTATATTTAAAATATTTCATTAGCCTTTGAGGAGAGAGAATTCAAAATGTATTGCTTTTGTTCAGCTGAAGGAGGTAATATTCTGTTATGTTGACTTCTCCTTGGCCATTTACTGAGGTATTTTGAATGTAAACTTGAATTATATCCTTTTTAGCATTCTGTTATTTCATTTTAGCCCTCTGTTTAGGGCTGCTGGGAACTACATCACAATAGCAATACAAACAGACTACCTACTAGCCGTTCTTGGAACAGATAATCAAAGGGTTCTTCTGAGAATTTAAGGATGCTTGCATATTTGGTGGTCATATCCTGATTGTCCCTATTGAATCCCCTTATTTTTCTTCTCTTGCCACTCTTTTAGGATGCTTTTTAAAGAAAGCCGAAGTGTTCACAATCACCTCACTTCTGCCCCGTGAGTATAATATTAGCAACTAAACTAAATCTTTAGGTTATTCATACTGTCTCTTCACATCTTCATCCTACCTTTTTTTGGACAGAGGGGAGGAAAGAGATATTTAGGGATTAGTGTAAAGAGACGTACAATGTTTTTTTTTTAATGCTTTAATTTAGACATGTAACTGTAATGTTCTTGTGGCATTATATTTTTAACTCCATTATGAAGTGGCTAGATAACTCAAGAGGATATTCATTCTTGGATTAATGCCGTTTATTCAAAGTATTTCAAAGCACTGTACACTACCTGAATTTTGCTGTGCCGCATATTAAATTGAACTCAGACTGCACTACTTCCTGCTCTTTTTTCCCCCCTCATAAATGTCTCTAACCACAGAAGACTGTGTATCTTAGCAGAATTTTATCTTCTTGCTTCTCAGACAATGCTGTGTCCCTCTCGGGAGCTGCCTGTATTCAGCCAGAATTCAAATAAACAATTATGACTTTGAATAACACCCAAATTGCAACCTTTGTGATAAATATGATTAACATAGGATATTTTTCTATGTAATAACAAAACTGAGTCATGGTCTACCTACAGTGAGGTCTTTTTTTAACCAGGCATATTCGTAGTTGCTTAGAAAAGGAGATCCTCTTGAAGAAATAAAAATGAGAAAAGAGGGTGTGAAATGCTTAACTTCTAAGGCAAAGCTGATGACTAATAATCCTTAATGCTGTCCTCGCTTGCATAGCTGCAGTTGATGCTGTGGTGTTCACTTACACTGCAAAAGAACCTGGCTGCTTGCAACAAACACAAGTTAGATACAATTGTTTCACAGTTGCTAAGCAACAAAACACTTTTTGGGGGGGAAGCAACTGTTTTTGTGGTTTGAAATATGAATGGCAACATGAAGTATACTCCTCAGTGACAAAAACATCAACATAAGGTGAAATTATATAACTGTTATAGGTGACTTCAGTTTAGACAAAGCTCAGCTAAGTAGACAAACTCTTAAGATTGTAAGAGGCTGAGGTAACCTGATATATCAGGAGAGCTATCTTTTACTTTTCCGATTTAGAGAAACTTCAAAATATCAAGTCATCTCAGCAATTCAGTGAATTTTGCATGTAATTTACATAGAGATAAATGGAAAAAAAAAAGGGTTAAAAGTGTGCTTGTTCTCTTCCCCTCCTATATTTTAACCCATTTTCTATTTCAAGGATGTTTTGTTATTAAAGTTGGATTTCAGTAGTCATCCTTCGAGTTTATCAGGATATAATCAGGGTAACAGTTAAAACTAAAATGACTTGCCTTTCTTTTGTCTTCTGATGCGCATGTATCCCCTCTGTTTTAGGGCAAAGAAGAAGGTGATTCTGGCCCCTAAACCCAAAGTGAAGGTAAATGCCGATGTAGATATCTGAATTTTATATGACCATTTGATACGACTTGTTTCTTGCCTCTGATCCAGAAAAATTATGGCAGAAGGGTTCCATCAGGAAATGCTGTGAGAGCTTATTGACTTGATGGTGTATTACTTTAAAGAAAGTAGTACAAAAGGCTTCTGTATAGCTTGGTAACTTCAAGCTATATTAGTTTTTTGAAAATTGACTATGAAGAGGTACTAGTTCCAGTAAAGTTTCACATTCTTTTGGTGTGCTTTGTGTTTGTTTTCAGCTTGTATTAAATTTGGTAATGCTGGAAAAATGTGTGATTTGGGAGGATAACATAGTAAATCAATAGAGGTTCTCATTAGACATGACTAGGTGTAACAATTTTACCTAGCGATCTGATTTGCTATCCCTGTTCTTTACAGCTTTGATTATTCTTTAACTTTGTGGGGCACTCTTATGTGGAGCAACAGCACTAGGTTTTTAAGTACAAATACTGAATTAGCATGTAGGACTCCAACACCTCAACATCGTAGGTATCTTAATATGAAAATTTCAATAGTAGATCTTCAGTTCATCTGAATTTACAGAGTATTACTCTAAAGAAGACTTTAGGTCTACTCCAGAAAGACTATTAAATCTGTCTTTTCTGAACTCTTCATTCTCAGGACTCCAGTCCAAAGAAAGAACAGAAAACCTGTATGTCTTCAGTCAATTCAAGTTGTGCTACTGTACTGAGTTCCAGCACACCTGTCTGCACCCCAGCCAGCTCTAGCTGCACACCAGCTCCAGAGACGATCTGCTTGGACGACTCACTGGATGAAGACCTCTCTTTCCATCCACCTTCACTGGACTCTATTTCTGATGCTCTGGCAGTTATCAATAATGGTGCCAAGGGATCACCTCTTGGGTCCACCATAGACACACCAACATCCAGACCTCGCCCTGGGCTGAGGGAAGAGAAACTAGCAAGTATTATGAGTAAGTTGCCCCTGGCAACCTCAAAGAAAGTAGAGCCCACTCAAACACCCCATTCATCAAGTCTTATTGCTGGTCACACAGGGCCGGTACCAAAGAAACCCCAGGATCTAGTTCACACTGGTATCTCTTCAGGCCTTATTGCTGGATCTTCAATTCAAAATCCTAAGGTTTCCTTAGAGCCTTTGCCAGCCAAACTACTTCAGCAAGGACTACAGAGGTCAAGTCAGATCCAAGCTGCTTCCTCCTCTTCGCAGACTCATGTTTCTTCCTCTAAGACCCAAGCAGCTATCTCCACCTCCTCTCAAAGAACCAAGGATGGTAATATCTTAGTATCATCTTCAGAGGCTCCAGGTGGTTCTTCCTCAACATCACAAGTGACAAAGGTGCACCAGCATTCAGCTGTACAGCAGAAATATGTATCTCCTTTGCAAGCAACTATTAGTAAATCACAGAGCAATCCAGTGGTGAAATTGAGTAGTAATCCTAAACTGTCTTGCTCATCACCAGTCATCAAGGCTCAAGATAAGTCTGTAGTATATCGCCTGCCTTTGTCTAATCCCTCATCTGGAAGTGGCTCTCAAGTGTCTCACCCACTGGTTTCTCGGACAACATCCAGCACCTCTACCTCTAGTAACTATTTAGCCAAGGCTATGGTGTCACAAGTTTCTTCCCAGGGTTTCAAGCCTCCCTTCTCCATGGCTGCCTCTCCCAAACCTGCTGCCTCTCCCAAGCCCACTGCATCTAAGCCCTCTGTGACACCCAAGCCCAATGCATCGCCTAAATTTTCATCCAAGTCCACCTCATCCCCCAGGCCTGCAACAACACCCAGTTCTTCCAGTTCAAGTGCACTAGTTTCCCAGAGTAGTCACTCCAGCAACAACCCCCTTCATAAACAGACCAGTGGTGTAAATATCAGCAGGCAGTCTCCCACAATGAATTTGCTGCCCTCTAATCGCACCTCAGGCCTTCAGCCTGCAAAGAACCCTCAGGCTTCTTCAAAATTGCCCAACTCTTCTCCTTCTGGAACTGTTGGTAAAAATAATTTGGGTGGAGTTGGAATGAATGTACCTGCCAGCAGAGGCAGTAACCTTAACTCAAGTGGAGCTAGTAGGACTAGTCTGTCTGGGGGAGCAGGAAGTGGAACACAGGGTGCTACTAAACAATTGTCAACTCCACACAGACCATCTTCTGCCTCAGGGTCTCCAGTTGTAGCAGCCAGTGTGCAGGTACGCATCTAATGAGTTTACATTTAAACCTTACACTATTTATCACATTTATTTTGTAAACTTTTTCTTGCAATATCTTGTGTCATAAATTAAATGTTTATACTTTAATAAGCATAAATGTGAATACTGATCAAACTATTTCACACTGGTGAATCGGTATTTCCAGCTGATGTGAAATGCAAGGATCAGTGTGGAACAAATCCTCACTGTAAAATGTTGGTTGGTTTATACTGTGGAACGAAATTCACTTTTTTTTTTAAGAGCACTAGAAAAGGTAAGCGTTGTGTGGCCATATTTTAAGGGGATGTGGTATTTTCTTGCGTTATTGGATTTGTGTATTCTTGCATATTTACTTATTTGTAATGATGGTTGTCATATGAAAAGGTATCTTGGTACCTTTGTTGCCAAGCTTCATGATTAACTTGCATAACTAGAGTTGAGTTGCCTGTGGTTTGAGCATAATGCAAGACTTGTATTTAAAATTTACACTTGCAAGGGCTTTTCTTTAGTGTTTGTGATTAAATATGAGTTTTATTTTGTAGTAGTCAAACAGAATGAGACATGTCATTAATATATAAATATCCTAGAAATTGAGAGAGCTTATGCAGAACTTCATCACTGGAGATAAGTAATACAAAACAAATATTTTGAAATACTGTTGTTCTAAAACCCAGGCAAACTTATTATTTGCTTGGAAGACAACCTGCTTTCCTAAGCTGTGTTGTTCTTCTTACTGGGAATGATTTAATTACTAGGATGATTTGAGGTTTTCCCATCTCTTTATTGCTCTCTCTATCCAGAAGTCTTCACTACTGAAGAAAAGCAGTATTGCTGTAAATCAGTGTCTTGGTGTACAGCAAACGGAACAGCTTTGTATTTTTTGGAACAATGTACATAGCTATTGCATGGTAGTGATGTGTACTCAGCTTTTAGCAATGGCTTATAATCTTTTAGCTTGCTATCAATGTTTTCTTAATGCAGCTGAATAACAGGAGGAAGATTTATTTTTACAATACATTTCTGTAGTCTTTCATCCTATTGTACCTTAAATCTCTTACAGTAAATAAGAAATATCTGGCAGGCTCTGACACAGCCTTCTCATTTTGGGTGCTTTGAATGAAAAAAACCGCAACCCCTATGTTGTGTAAGAGCTGTGGAGGTACCACATAGGGTCTAGAGAACAGCTGAGCCAGGTGCAGTGCAATTTGGGTACTCTGGAAGGTACCTGGAAGAGACAAAAAAGGCTACAGTGAATGCACTGGGAACAGAGTTGTTTCTTCCTGGTGTAATCAACAGAATCCAGTGGATATAGTTGCTGTGATGCACAAGAAAATCTGAAATGGATGTGGTAGTGCTTAAAGATGATGGACAAGGGAAATAAGTAATATTGTGTTGGATAATGAGATTAATTCTGGCAAACCTTCCTGTAGTTAAAGGCAAGGGTTTTTTGTTTTTTCTTTAAACACTGATCAGCTGGGGAATGAAATGCATTTTGGCAGACTGATTTTGAAGAGGACTGGAGGGGGTGTAGTGGATAATCAAGTAACATGAGTGCATACCTGTAATACAGTAAAATAAGGTGTGTTGGTATATAGAAGGGGGAAATCAGCTAGAGATACTGAGCAGCATATGGTATCACTAAAATAATTATTGTGACTTTACATGGGGGGTTTTTTTGACACTTCAGAGGTTACTTTGATAACCTAGAAATGGTTCAGAAGAATGGTGCAAAGAAGGTACACCATGGAATAAGGCTGTTGTTACTGTGCAGACTGAGGCTTAGTCAGTGGAGTATCTTCAAGAGAAGATTAGAATCAAATTGCCTTCCACTGAAGGGGAAGAGATTTGTGATAAGAGGGCTTTGTTTAGCCTTAAAGATCTAACGGCAGGCTGCTGAACTTAATCAATTCTAGACTAGTTGTTAGGTACAATGTACTGAGTTAGCTACCCCTCTTAAAACTTTGTTACCCTCCTTTCCATTAAGGGTTTAGGGCTTTAATCCTTGTCTGAGATGCTATTCATTGGTAAGAAGATGAGAATGTTACCTGAGACCATATCCTGGTCTGCTTACATTGAAGATCAGACTAGGTGATATCATGTGGTAATAAAGATGTTCCTAACTAGGAAGTTTCCAAGAAGTGTTTCCTTCCTTTCCTGTTCTGATTGACACAATTATTTACCAGAATATAAGCTTACACCTGCTGTAGCCCCACAGAAATTTTACTGTGGAATACTCTGTTAAATTACATCTTAAGAACACAAAGCTCAAGTAATCTAAACTTCAGCAAGTATTGTGTGACGTCCTTAAAAAGCTCTACCTACTACTAGTACTCTTGAGCAGAATCTGGCTTAGACTTTTAAGGATTTTAGTGACTCAGATGATCAGGATGAACCCTTTTATGAAGTGCTATCATAGGTGAGATAAATAGAAGCATCTGAACTGCAACTCTTTTAGGGCATTCTCTGTAGCTTCTTCCATCACTGAACTTCTCTCCTCCTTTTTGAGAGAGTAAACAAGGTCTTGGCAGAGAACATTACAAAGCTTCTTTCTTTTCACAATTGCAAGAGATTACTGTATGGCTTTTGTTGCACAGTAAAAATTAGAAAGCTGTCATTTTTTTGTACATAGGCTTATTGTGAAATTAGTACTTTTAAAGGCAGAAGAGAATAATCCTGTATGTTGAAGTTTTCAATTTTTTTCTACTTGTGGAATGGAGTATGTCTTAGAAACTGTCACTCCTAAGATGACTGATACAAACACTTGCTAGGAACATCACTTCTGTAGTTGTTTACACTTACAGGGTTATTGTTTTAAAATTTTGTTTTCTCATAAGCAGTAACTAACCTTTCTTCAGCTGCTTTCATTTGAACACCTTAAGACCAAAACTGGTAATAGGAACTTTATCTCTGCTAGGAGTTTTCATCATTTTGCTGTTTCTGTAAGCTGATATTACTGAACTCAAGGAGACTTCATTTTCATTTTAAGCTTATGTGTTGATTAAAATGATTCTAAGTTTTGAGTTTAGTTAAAGGTTACTTGTATAAATGCATAGGTTTGAAGTCCTGTTCAGTCTGAGTCTCTAACTCAAATATCTAAAATGTCTGAGCATGAGTGATTCAAAATGCTTTCTATACTAACTGTTTTGTAGTAGATCATTAGAGAATGGAATGTTAGCATATAAAATCAATATATGCATAGTGAGAGAAAGATTGTTAAACAAGAATGAGCTGCTCTAATGTTAGAGGACTTAGTGGTCTTTGGGAGTTGTTGTAGCTAAAATGTTGTAACTGATCTTGCATTTTTGTTTTTAAAGTACAGTCACTTGTGACATATGTAGAGAGATTATTTTGCTTTGCCTTTTGCTTTGACATGTGCATACAGATCTATACATACATAGGTATGTCTGCATTGTGGTAACCTGACTTCTCTCAAACTGTGGGGCTTCTTATGTATGAGTCTTAATTTTCAAAAATCATTGCTTCTAAGCAACCTCTTTATTTCTAAAGTTAGTGTTCTGTTAAGACCCAGGAGAGAATACTACTGTGCTTCTGAAGAACTTCAGTTCTACATCTGATAATTTCATATTATTAACCTAATAGAAGATGTTGCATTGGAGTCTGACTATAGACCCAGTGCATAATTGGAAAGGAGGTAGAGGAAGTTATCTGCAAGGCTGACAAGAAACCATGAGATATGAACCTTACTGTCATGTCTGAATCTGAGATACGATTGTACTTGCTTAGCAGATAACAGTGAGAAGACCTTCTAGGTGGATAAGTGTATACTTATTAATAGTTTAATACACTTAATAGTGCCACATAACAGAAAATAGTTGATTCTTGTCTCCTTAAAGAATACAACTCAAAGCTTTGAAATCTTTAAGTACTCCTTTTCTTTGTACAGTCAACAGCAGGAGCATCATTACTGGCTAACGCCTCACCTCTGACTCTCATGGCATCACCCCTGTCTGTAACCAGTCAGAACGTGACGTCTGCACCATTAACTCCTTTTGGGATGCTGGGTGGCCTTGTTCCTGTGACTGTGCCCTTCCAGTTTCCCTTGGAGCTGCTTGGCTTTGGGACGGACACAGCTGGAGCGACAACCACCTCGGGATCTACCTCAGCGGCTTTCCACCACAGCCTAACTCAGAGTGAGTGGAATTAGTTATCAGACTGTCCTATAAGGAGGGATGCACCCTGAAAAGGGAAATTAAGAAGGAAAGCGATAAAGTTCTGAGACACACAAATTTGGTTCATGAAAATCCCTACAGGGGAGTAAATGTGACATCTTCACTGGTAAAACTTTGTTTATGTAATTATCCAAATGTTATGAATCACCTTTGATAAGCTTAACTTCATTGTTACATTCACAGTATATACTTTGTTTTGAATATGGTTTTTTGGGTTAACTTTTAATCCCTTACCTTTAGAAAGGAATATAGCTTCAGAGTCTCCAAATGTCACAATACAAATAAGAGACTTAATATGGTGATTTCTCAAAACATCCTTAGCTCAGTAATCTCAGACATCAAACAATTCTTTTATGAGGAAATGTCAGCCAAGATGGCAATTTTTTTTTTTGATGGCTTAAATTCTTTAGGTTTTTAACCTATATCAATTTTTGGTCTTTCTGCCAAAGGAAATGGTACGAAGAGCTGCATCCCAATAGTGAGGCATGGTCCTTGCTTTGACTTTTGATTAACCATGTCTGAATAGGTCTGTTTCTGTTGACTTATTCCAGCCATCATAATGCTATCAGGTATTTATTTTCTGTTGTTGAGATACATCTTCAGAAATCTGCAAATCAGCATGCTACTATAGCTACACTATAAAAATAGAAACTTTCCTATTTCACAAAGGCTGCCTCTGGCCTTAAGATTTGTTTTTCATCTTTGTTGCTCTCCCTTTTTTCCCCAGACTTACTGAAGGGTTTACAGCCAGGTGCTCAGCACGCAGCAACACTGTCTCACTCACCTCTGCCTGCTCACTTGCAGCAAGCTTACACAGGTAAAGATAGTGTATTTTTCTTATTATTTATTTTTAACTTAAAAGTCAGATTTCTGTCCTAGACTGAAATAAAATGTACACCAGAATTGAAATCGGTTTAGAGAAGACACAACACAGGGACAAGCTTGAGTAGCAGCAGACAGTACACATTCTATCATAGCAGTATTTTTGGAACATGAATTTTTTTCTACTTGTCTTCAATGTCAGGAACAAAAAAGTTCAAAAATTTCAACAATACTTTATTGTAGCCGTTCTAGAAAGTCAAGTATACAAATTCAACTAGTGGAGAAAAAAGAAATGCTACTTAATGGACACTAAAATGATTGTTTACAGGCTGCATAAAGCCTCTGTTGGGGAGATTGTTTTTTCCACTCAATTTTAATTTCTACTTTGGAGGAGAAAGTGACCTTCCAGCTAGAAGCTTCTTCATGATTCTTATAAGAGTGTATACATGTGTGAACAGTGTGATGGTTTCCTAATGGAAGATCTGCCTTCCCTGGGAACTTTATCCTTGATAAGAGTTGCATATTTTGAGAGGAGAAGCTTGAAATAGAACATATTTTTCTGTTTATAAGAAAGAGCCAAAACCCTAAAACCATAAAGCTTTAGAAGGTGCAGTTTAGAGTGTACTCCTTTCTTTGCCACCTGTAGGGTTGGGTTTATTTTTTTCCCAGAAGAAGGAATGGGAAGGGTGGCAGTGGCTTGGGGGACAGCGTTCTTCAACATGTTCTCAGCACCAAAAAACTGGGCAGTGTTGCTCTAAGAGGCTGTGAAAACAAACCAATTGGCTGTATTTGGTACAACAGTAAACTTTTGTCACAGTGAGTGCCATGAGTTGAATACTAAAAATGCTTTATTAAAGTGTAAAGGCTTCTAAAGAAAGGCTTGATTTTTTTGGAAATTTTTTCAATATCCCAAGCTGCAACCTAATCTTTAGAAAGATGGTATCTTTTTGGTATGAAGCCTGATATCTCAGGTTTCAACAGTGCTATTTCTAATAAGTGAACTACAGAGAAGATGCAGTGTTTTCCACTCTATAAAGACAATGTACTTTTTAGTGATGCTAAAGCTGAATGTGCCAAATTCCTGTCTCTCTTGCTGCGAGTTATAAAAATAAAAGTTCACTCATGCTTCTATTCTTTCTTTTCCTGTCTCTAAACTACAGATGGAGGCCAAAGCAAAGGGGACACTAAGTTACAGCGGAAAAACCAGTGACTTCTGGACAAGCAAGGGAGCTGAAGCAGTTCTGGTTGGCTGACAGAATCTGCCCAGTTGGGAAAGTGCTTATTGTCACAGGGCTGCTGTTTCTGTCGATGTTTACATATTCTGATCCCAAGCACTGTGGTGAGAGGAAGAAGAGAAAGAAAACAATACTTGATCAAAGAGAGAAGGAAAAGGAGGACCGGTCCTCCTGGTCATGCAGACTGGTCATAGTTTGATCTTGCCTAAAGAAACAAGCTTTTTTATCTGCTCTGATTGGCTTTTAAAAAAATTGATCGTCAAACCCACAGCAGCACAAACATTGTTTTTTTTCTGGGTGATGTCCAATGAAGAGTTGAAAGCGTGAGAGCAGCTAGAATAGGTTTCTCCATCCATTGTTTAAGGTGGAATCATCCTCTTCATTAGTGCCCAAAGTGCCCAGTATAAGATTATGTGTAGGTCCTGAGTGTACTATATGGTTGTGGACCAAAGGTTATGTAGAGTAGAGGTGGTGCTGGGATACTTAGCATTATTAAACCCTTACACAAATGCAGTTTCTGATATGGGCATTTTTCCAGCTTTACAAGGCTGTTTGGCTTTAGGGAGCCTACAGATTTATGCAGTCTCATTAGAGAGTTGTCTTCAAAAACAGGTCTCCTGGTACATTGAGATGAGAGACAGACTACTGGGAAATCCCATGCTCCTTGTTTGATTTTATTTTTTTTAAATATAAAGATTCATATTTAAGGCAGGAAGGGGATGGAAATCTTGCCATTTACATGAAAAGGAAACCCACATTTTATTGGTCAGACTAGCATTTCTTTCCCCCTTTTTTAAAGGCACACTGATTTTTCAGTCCTTCCATTTGTTAAACTTTCTTTTCCTTTGCCTTGTGTTTATCTGCCACAGAAATCAAGTAATGCTCTATTCATGTCTTTTTATAAAACACAACCAGTTCTTTATTTACTCCTTACTTAGACCTTCCTCGTCTTTCACCTAACTCCTCCCAAAAGTTGTGCATTATACTGATTTGCTAGTTAAAGCCGATTGTGACCTGTTCCAGAGCCAGGTTAATACTGCTTCAGGCATTAGCCAAAGAGGAGTCGTTCAAAAGCGACCAGAGGTGCCTTCTCTTCTAGGGGCTGAATGGGTTGTCTCCAGCATTTCCAGCCCCTGCTGGCCTGGGGTGTTCCAGACCTGAACTCTTCCTTACATGGTAGCACAAGACTGCAAAGCTGGCTTTTTTTTTTTAAGGGGTTTTGGATAGCAATACATCCACTGGTTCATTTGTAAGGTTAGGAAGTACCCAGCACACATTGCACTTTCAACACTAGGACAGAACTTTGCTGTTGAGTCCCTTGCGCTGTCAGATAAAAGGTGAGAATGGCAGAAACTGAAATAAATCAGAGGGGAAAGGAGCAAATAAAATAGCATGATGCCCTTCTTCAACCCCGAAGCATTCCTTTGATCAGAGATGCTGAAATTCCTAGTAGCTAGTCTTTCCAGTAGTTTGATTTGAGATTGAACCAGTGTCTATTGGTTGTCTCACACCTTCCAGAGAGACTTTGACCCATGGGAAATAAATCGTCAATGTTTTTTGCTAGATTAACTTATAGCTTTCAGGTTTCTTTTACATGTGATTTATTTTTCTTAGACCAGACAACAATTTCTTTTCTATTTAGAGCTCATTTTAATTTTATATAAATATATATACATGAATTA